ACCTTGCAGGGCATCCGGGCCTGGTAGGGTCAAGGCGGCGGGCGCCCCACCACAGCCTGGCGCCGCGGGACTGAGTGCGAGAAAGGCTGGATCCAAGGGCCAAGTCCCCTCGTTAAACAAAACAAAACAAAACAAAACTCGCCTCGCTCACTAGAGAGCCCTGAGCGCAGCTCACATTCGGCTTGAGGAAGGGATCTCAGGGGCGAGGAGGATGCCCAGGGCCGGTGCGGAGACTGACTCCGAGGCAGAAAGGCCGGCTGGTGCCGGGGAGGACGGTGGCCCCGACCTGGCCCCGAACGGAGTGCGAGAGGCTGGGAATCTGGCTGCCGCTCGGTTCTCCCCGAGCGAGAAGGCTTCTCTCCCTCGGCCTTCCCAAGGCCTCCTCAAAGCGTTGGCGGAGAACCCAAAGACACACACACAAAATAGCATGAAGGAGAGACAAATGGGCGTCGTGGCTTGAGAAATCCCCAAGCCCCACGGACCTTTGGCCCCCTTTGCGGGCCCGGAGCGCCACACTACACTCGATTTTCCTTTTTCCAACCGCCTGCCCTCAGCAGAGATTCCTCGGCCTGGATCTCCGGATTGTCGGCGGGTAGAACTCTTCAAGAAAAACCAGCGAAGCGAGATAAACAATCTGGGGGCTGAACAAATCCGGGACCTGGTGGCCCGTGGAAGGTGTCACCGGGTTCCTTTCTGTTTCGTATTCTGTATTCAGCACATATAATATATATATAAAACTATATCCACATGCCGTGTACACACCCGCTGCCATACACTACAGGAGTCAATAAACAAGGTGCAATATTTCCAAACCATTAGCCGGCTACAGACTCTGTTTAGCCCCCTACCCACACCCCAGTGGGGAGGGATCCTTTAAACCCGGCGGGCAGGGGAGGACCAGGTGAGTAAGGGAGAGCAGTTGGGCGATCGCAGGCCTGTTGGGCCCTGCGCCAGTCCCCAGGCTGCAAGTCTGGGCTCCTCGTGGCTTTGTTCATCAATTTCTTTTTGCTCTAGTGGGGAGAATAGGTCGGAGCATCACGGCCTTTTGAGGTCCGGGGCTTTGTAATACCCCCACCCCACCCCCAATTTTTACCCAGATGTTTGGGCTAGTGCCTGAGTCTGCCTTGGAACAAGCTTAGACTCTGTCCCACCTGGAGGGTCGCCCGGGAAAAGGAAACTTCCCCAGGCCCAGCCGCAGGCGGCGTGAAGGTAGCTCCTTCTTTGGCCGCCGGGGCTTACAACGCGCCCGAGAGCGCTGCGCCCCGCCGCGGCCGCGTTCTCCCCCTCCGCCGCCCTCCCTTCTCCCCCGGCGGCCGCGGCTTTATGCCGCTCCTTGTCACTTGCGGAGAATGCCTGCGCGAGGTCTGTGCTGCCACACGGCCGATTGTGAGCGTGCCAAGGCGGGTGAATGGGGAGGCCTCAGAGCGCCGCGCCATTGTGGGGCCGGGCCTCGCTGAAAGGCGGCTCCGGGCCGGGAAGGTGCGGAAAGAATGGCTTTTTATTGGAGTCCCGAACAAAAGGTGTGGTAGGAAGGCGAAGTCCCCTGCGCGAACAAAAACCCCAGCATCGGGATTGACGTCCCCCCCTCCCCAACTCCCCATTGCTTCTTAGAGCGGGGGCTTTGTGCAGCAGTCTGCTCAACAGAGGGACGGAGAAATGCGCGGGGGGTTTTGTTCCCCACTTTTGTGCGCTGGGGGGGCAGCAGGGAGGGCCGCACTGATTAGGCCCGGCTGGCCGGGGCGCAGAGACGTTCAGCGGGAGTCGGCCGCCTGAATGCAGGGTCATTATTGCTACAAGTTTAGCAATTTCGCCCTTACAGGAGGGGGCGGGGGCCGCTGGGCTGCTGCGGGGCCGCCGGGCTAGGGCGCGGCAGAGACCACGAAGAGAAGAAAAAAAGGTGGGGAGAAGGAAAGGCGAGGCAGGCGAGGGGATCCTCCCCAACCCGCCGCTGACCGCCCAGGCTGAGGCTCGGAGGCAACCAGAAGGGCCCAGCGGGAGGCTTGAGAGGCGGTGCCTGGGGAGCGAAGACCTTCCCTCCCCTCGCTTTTCTGGAGGCAGAAAGACCCGGGAACGCAGCGTGAGTGACTGCACAGCCTGCCGGTCACTTAGCTCTCCGCGGCCAGTTCCCTACTTTCTGAAAAGCCGACCTGGGCCTGGGACACCGCCTCCCACCACCGCGACACCCCAAACCGCGTCCCTAGAAGCCCTCTCTTCTGGAGCTAGTATCTTTCATGAGTTGCTTAGGGGGGAATTCTCGCTTCCTAATACGTTTCTCACTGCCTGCAGCTGCAAAGGACTCATTCATTCACCCATCCATTCAACAGCATTTACTGAGCATCTATTAAAGTATGTTCACTTGCACTGTTCTGGATGCTGAGGACAGCGAGGAAAAAAAAACACACACAGTGTCTGGGGGCGTATAGCGTTTATTTTCAGGGGTGTGTGTCAGGGAGGTAGACAACAACAACAAAATGTAAAATAGTAGGTAAGTTCTAAAAAGGAACTAGAACCAAGTGCTGGAGAGAGGGTTCTTGTGGAGTAGGTGGTCAAGAAAGCCATTTAAGCTGATGCCTGAACGACGAAAAGGAAGCCAATCCAAACTGTGCTTTGCTGTTGCAGCCTCCCTGCCTCTGCTATTCCGAGTCTCCCCTCCATCTGGAATGCCCTGCACCCCATCTGTCTGGTGAACTTTTGATTCTCCTTCAAGGCCAGGCTTCTTTCCTGAACCACCCACGTGGAGGTCATCACGCCCTCATCTGTGCCACCAGAGTCTTAGGTACTTTCCAATATCACAACACAGTGGCGTGCAAAACCTTATTTGTCTCTCTCCCAACACGTGAGTTCCCAGTGAGGTGTGGAGGGGCAGGTTGGCATCTTTTTCCTTTGGGACAGATAACACAGTAGGAGATCATGGGGCCTGGCTCCTTTAGGGCCACCTTCCCTGGTGCTCCAGGGCCATGACGATAGCCCCAATATGGTAGAGCTGCGGGGCCTTGGGTGCTGGCTGCAAGGGAGAAGTGGGGAGGACTCTCCGCTCACTTGGGCAGAGGCAGGACAGCTGACATCCGGACAGGAGAGGTGCAACCCAACCGATCCCAGAGGAAGATCCAGCCTTCATTACCCCTCCCTCCAGATGCTGCCTGGGGACACGGCTTCTCTAGGGAGTTGTCGTCCTTTGCTCTACAGCTCAGAACCTGGTAATGACCTTGACACCAGTTCACAAACTTTAGGCGATGGGGAGGAGTCTAGGATAAGGAAGAAGGAGGGTGGGGGCAGCATAGGGGGTGGAAAGCTGGGATGTATAGGATAAACCCCTGGCCCTACATTTGGGAACCAGTTTGACTTCCCCTTCCTTCATTCACTAGGTGAGGAGTATGGTAGGTGATGAAGATGATGTCCGCAACCTGGGGCATCATCTTCTAAGGTGGGATTTCAATGCCGCATACCAGGACTTCCAAGGTTCTGAGAGCAGACGCCCTGGTTCCGGTGGGTGTTTCCTAAGTAAGCAACTTTTCCTCCAACCTCGTCCGTATTCTGCTGGCTGTGGCCCCTCAGGGCTCCCAGCCCCAGATACCCACCTTCCAGGTCTTGCTTCCTTCTAGCCCATGTTTATCTTCCTTCATTCTGTATTGCCTCCTGTCCTGGAAAGGAGGTGTGTGACCCTCACAGAGGAAACAGCCATTCCATGGGCTGGCTTCCCTACCATTTGCATGTCTTGAGATCCTGAAAGCCAGCCTGGACCAGCCCTTCCCCACTGGATACCCCTCCCCAGGGCCTGCAGTCTCCGAGTGTAAATAGCTCCCATCTCTTTGCTGAAAGACTTCTGTACTGCTCCTTGCTGGGGCTCCAGGGCCCTGGCCATTGGAGGGCGAGAACCCTTGACCAATGCACCTATCTCTCCCTAGGCTCCCTCTGCAAGGGGAAAGACTCTCCCAGGCCCAAGCTGCTGCTTCGCTGGATTGTCCTGTAAGCCAGGATGAATTGCAAAACCCAGGCAGGCCTTCTAATGAGCCATGAGATTTTGAACAGGCGAAGTAAATCGTCCCCTTGGGCTCTGGTTTCTGAGCTCTCAGATAGAGAGAAGGATGGATGATATGATTTCAGAGATTACTGTTGGCTCAGGCCTTTCTTGCTTCCCTGAATGGGTGGCTAATCCCTCCCCACCCAGTGACTGTGCCACACCAAGTTTAAGGACTGAATAGGTGCCACGGGTGGAGGAGGTGGCATAGATTCTAGAAGGCCGGCTTTTTTTTTTTTTTTTCCTTCAGAGCCCAATCTCGAGGGGTTAAGAGGCTGGACTCTGGAGTGATGCTGCCTCCATTCTAACCTCAGCACCACCACAAACAGCGGTAGGGACCTTGGTAAGTTAGGAGCACTCTGAACCTCAGTTTCCTCCTCTGTGAAATGGGTATGCTTACAGCACCTCTCTCATAGGGTTTTTTTAAAAAATACACACATTTTAAGCGTACAGCTCAAAGAATGCTTATATAAGTAAACCCTCATGGATAAATCACCTTGGCTTTGAAAATCAAATGAGATGATCCAGATAAAAGCAGCGTATCCAGCTGGTACGTATCAGGCATTGCATCAATGTTACAGGCCTGGCCTGTTGTACTGAGAAGTCCGGGACTCTATTCTGCCCGCGAGGCACCTCCAGGCCGGGGTTTGGAGGACGGCAGGCGGGAGGATTCAGAACCCCAACACTGCAGGCGCGCGTCGCCATCGAGGCGGGTCAGAGTCCCTGGGGGCAAGCCAGGGGCAGGTGCTTCCTCGCCGGGTTTGTGGAAGCCGATGAAGGGCCAGGTGAAAGGGGGTTTCAGGAGGAACCTCGGGTCCCCTCTACCGCGACTCTGCAGGCAGGAAAGGTGCGGGAGGGGAAACGCAGCCCCTCCCAGCAGGGCTTCTCCCGGCCCCGCTCCCTGTTCCCTGGCCCAGCCACAG